TAAGCATTGTAACTATGTGGTTATTTAAGATCATTCTGAAATTAGTGAACTAATCAATAATCAATCAAAAAATGAGCCTTCTGGCTAATGTCCTTAACAAGGGCATCACTCTCAAGGCTATTAGCCCCTTTGAAAAGATGCCGAGTATTTATCTTTACTTTTGGAGCATAATGAGGAAAAACCCTGGTAACTGGAGGGTTTGCTTTCCATGCCACAAGGAACCTGGGACCCAATATCCGCTGCACCAACTGGAACTTTTCATACTCATCATTGTCGGCCTTGTGGATTGCAAGGTCCACAGCATCTGACTAGGGAACCATTGCCTGGCTTCTCACAGCACCAAGAGGTGTCCTATACACGACACGATACTCGATTCCAACTTGATTCATGGCATCTACTAGAGTGGACAAGATCTCATCCATGATCATATCACAACAGATTGGATAGCCATCAGTTGCAGCAAGTGTGTTTGGGCGAGAGGTCAAAGGTTTCTCTGGGCAGAACTGCTTGTCATCTTGGTCCATTCAATTTTGTCTGGGCGCACTGTGCGTAAAATGCTGTGTATTTGTCCAAGTGTTGAATAATCAAGATAGTACCCAGTTCTCTGAAGGATGTGGTGACGTGATCAAAGTAAGTTATGGCAGGCAAGAAAAAGCAGTTAGATAGTTTCGCTATTTTCAGGTGTCCATCTGACCTTTTAAAGAAATCGAGAAGACTCATGCTTCCACATTCAGCTCGCCATCTCAGTGATTGAAAGGTGCTTTGCGAAGAACAAATGCTGTTTCTGCAATATTGCACTCTTGAAACCAATCAGTAGCTTTGCTGTTGCCATCTTCATGGTAACTGGGTTCATGGGGATGAATTGGTCCAAAATTGCCAATACTCATTGTCCAGTTTTTAACTAGAAATGTACAGCTACTTTTCTTCAAGAAGAGTCAAACTTGACCGGAACTAATCAGATCACGGAATGATAAATATCCCTTTTCAACTTTCTATTTGTCGATATCCTTATATCTGCTGGCATTAGTTTATTCTCCTATTAAAGATAGCCTCGGCAGAAATGCTGCATTCGTTGGAGAAACTGGCAAATTAACACAATTGTGTTTACGTTCAACTACGCACGTCAAAATTTGATATGTGTTGTGCGATCGTGGCGCGGTTGTTGTTTACATATTCGATCACGCACACGAAGTAGGCTTGCATTCCCCGTGAATTTCTAATATTTCCAGTCGCTCACCATATGATAAAGACAGTGTAGAACGGCAGAGAAATCGGTTTAAGCCCGGTCAACTCCCACTTGCTAGATAGGAATGAAATCCTAGCTTGCCACATGAAAACGCTCCGTTAAGCCTCGGGGGGGGGGGGGAGAGGTGGACCTCCCAATTTCGCGGGCCTTCAGAAGATTGTAAAGAAAGGAGCTGATACAAATGCCTTGGGAGCTAAAAAACGTGTAATTCCTTTGTCTTTGACCTGTTTCCAGCTAGAAAGAAGACTGAACAATGCTGAATACTGCATACATCTCTTGGGTTGAAAAACTTACGATAAAGTACGCAGAGATTACTACGGGGCATTTTTTATTTAAGTACACTATGTACGGACGCTTCCCTTCCCAGAGGAATGACAATACCACTTTTCGGTTCTGTCCTGGTGTACCGGTTCACAAGGGAATTACCATTGTTCTTTCTTTGTTTAGGAGTCATTGGTTAGCTGTTGTGTATTGTTCGGTCTTTTGTATCGGCTCTTGTGAACCGGTACACGAGGACAGAACCCACTTTTCATTTGCAAGAATGACAAGGACAGTTCCAGCAGAGATTTTGTTCAGGAAGGGTTGTAAATGCACGTAATTTTTTGTGATGAACTGCGCTTTTGAATATTTTATAGAACTGAGTGCAATACAAAATATAAATGTTATGTTATTGTAACTGAAAAGCATTGTCCAAAATTTTTCATGCTGGGTAAATTCTAAATGCACAGAGATAGGGCAAGTCTACAAGAGGGGAGGGAAGGAGTTGAATAAGCTTTCCCGGTTCAAGGCTTTTGAAGGCCATAATAATAATTTAATAATAATAATAATATTAATAATTTATTTCTTATATAGCGCTACTTACAATAACAGATCAATAGCGCTATACAACTGATATCTCTAAATATTAAAATCTCATCTAATTAAAAAATAAATAGATAAATAAATAATAATTACATATTACATTTATATAATAATTACATATATTATAATTACATAGGCCATTAGCGGTAAACAATTCTCAGGAAGACATATGTCTATGAGTTAACATTAATATTAAGTTTTTCTGTTTTTTAATATGAATGATAAATGATTTTCGATTTATTTAGTCTTTCTGTGACGAAATAAAGTGAAGCTTGCCGGAGTAAAAAGTTGCCAATATTCGGACCTTTGTGCATGTTTGCGCAAAGGTTTCTTGGAACGCTAGGAGGCAAACATTGCTAGTTTCCACAAGAATTATAAGGCAAAAGGTTGTTTCAACGTCCAGAAGAGATGATTTCGGAGAACGATCATGCTCTTTCTCCACTGCTTGCTTTTTCTTTTTTTCCGAAATGGATTTAGACAATGTACATGTTGATACGAGAAAAGTTTTTGTTTGAGTAAATTCCAAATACGCAGTCAAATCTGTTCTTGAAATCAGTCATGAATCGAAAGAAAATAACTCAATAAAGCCTTTCCAGATGCATTTACATATGTATAACCTAATTGCG